CAATTATCATATGTACAGCCTAAATATATTTATGTGTACAGTAGGCCCTCCACATTCGCTGGGGTTAGAGACACAGGATCCCAGTGAAAGTAATAAATAAATAAATAAACAAACAAAGCACTAATTTTTTAACCTGAGAGAACGCCTCTCTAGGAATCTCCAGGTCCTCCAGTGGTCAACATCTGCCAACATCTGCCAGAACATATATGGTCAACATCTGCCAGAAGTCGACCCACAAATGCCTAGAGAAGTGTGTTGTCTATTGATCTCTTGGTCTTCCAAGCACAACTCTATGGTCAACTCCTGCCAGAGTTGCGCTGGAGGACCTAGAGATTCCTAGAGAAACTATATTATTCAAATCTGCAAATAATCAAACCCGCAAAAGTCAAAGGACTTTTTCACACGGCAAAAAAAGATGGGAGCATAGCGCTATGCTCTTGTCAATATCGGGCAATAGCGTGAAGATTTTCACACGACGTCACGCAACATCGCCATTATCGCATGATTATCTTGTGAATAAAGAGGCATAATTGCACCGCTTTTTATTCATGGGATAATCGTGCGATAATGGCGACGTCGCACGACGTCGTGTGAAAATCTTTACGTTATTGCCCAATATTATCAGGAGAATAGCGCTATGCTCCCGTCTTTTTTCACCGTGTGAAAAAGTCCGAAGCCACAAATGTGGAGGACCGACTGTGCATAAGTTCACGGGGTTAAAGTGAAAATCTGGAAAGATGCAATGATATTCTTTAAAGAAAAATTTAAAAATATTTTTTTCACTTTTTTAAAAAATTAATTTTTAAGATTTACAAAACCGAGGGCCTCTCTTTTCTCCTCCCATTGAGCCTCGTTCCACTCTCCACTTCTTTCCAATGTTTTAAAGGGACGCAGGTGAGCGCCACGTCCTGTTTCTGCCAAAAGTCAGTTCTTTGGGGTGCAGTGGTATCACCCCCTTTTGGGGTGTCACCTGGTGCATCCGCACCCCCTGCACCCCCCCTAGTGACACTGCAGGTGCCGCTTCTGCCCAAACTTCCAAAACTGGCTTGAGAATGCCCTTCAAAGCAACCAAGAATGATGTGACCCCACTTCCAGTCACCCCAAATGGCTGCCGCTCCAGAAGACAGGCATCATTCTGGTCTTTGGAGCATCACCATCCCTAGGCATCCTTTGACGCATCTGTGCATGACTTGGGCCCTCTTTTAAGAAGAGAGGCAGTTGGATTTATCTGGGATTGCATGTATTAAAAGCATGCACTGCATTACTCAACTGTAGACCTACCCACATTAACATGGATTGCAATGGGCCTTAGTAGAAAATCACAGAATTATAGAATTGGAAGAGATCTAAAGGGCCATCCCCATTCTGCTATGCAGGAACTCCCAATCAAAGCATCCCCAACAGATGGCCGGCCGTCCAGCCTCTGTTTAAAGACCTCCAAAGAAGGAGACTCTAACACTCTCCAAGGCAGCATATTCCACTGTTAAATAGTTCTTACTATCAGGACATTCTTCCTAATGTTTAGGTGGAATTTCTTTTCCTGTAGCTTGCATCCATTGCTCTGGATCCTATTCTCTAGAGAGCAACAGAAAACAAGCTTGCTCCATCCTCAATATGCCAGCCCTTCAAATGCTTATACAGGGGTATCATATCACCTCTTAACTTTCTCTTCTCCAGGCTAAACATACCCAGCTCCCTAAGTCTCTCCTTCTTCTGGATGGCCATCTGTCGGGGATGCTTTGATTGGGAGTTCCTGCATGGCAGGGGGGTTGGACTGGATGGCCCTTCTGGTCTCTTCCAACTCTATGATTCTATGATTCTTTAAAGCATGGTTTCTAGACTTTTCACTGTTTTGGTCATCCTCCTCTGGACACACTCCAGCTTCCCAACATCCTTTCTGAATTGTGGTGCCCAGAATTGGACCCAGGATTCCAGGTGAAGCCTGACCAAAGCAGAAGAAAGTGGCACTGTTTTGATCTAGACACTATACGTCTATTGATGCAGCCTAGAATGACGTTGGCCTTTTTAGCTGCTGAGTCACACTGCTGACTCATGTTCACGGTTGACTCATGTATCCACTGGGGTTTGGTTCCAGGGGCATCACTAGGGGCGTGATTTTGCCATTTTATATATAGGGCACCATTTAACAGTGCCATTGTATTTAATGGGATTTGAGCATCCATGAATTTCGGTATCCCCCCCCTCCGGTGCATATCAAAATCCGTGGATGCTCAAGTCCCATTAAATAGAGTGGCACAGTAAAATGATGCCCCTTATATAAAACAGCAAAATCACACCCCTGAACAAAGTCATTAACGGGCTTTTCTTTACTGCCTGGCATCCTGTACAGCCTTCTCTGGTCTTCTCTTTGCTTATCATGGGATACGACTAATGGGATTGGTATTTCAGACCAGGGTAGGGATCATGCAACCTCCAGGTAGAGATGGACTGCAGTTCCTAGCATTCCTTGCCACTGGATATGCTGGCTAGGGATACGGGGGACTTGCATGCCAACATATCCTGGTTACAGGCTACAGTAGTGGTGGGCGATGGGACTCCTACGGCTGTGACCCATTGCACATTTTCATACGTGGCCTTTTGCTCTGAGCAAAGGAGTGACTCGCATCCTAAACCAGCTGAAACAAGCATCTTTTGGGGAGGCAGATTAAACTGGAGCCAGTGCATCGTCTCCAATTAACCCTTGCACCCTTCCCTTCCAGAACCTGAATGTTGAGTTTCCATATTTAGCTTCTGCTCAAATGCAGCCCAGCCAAAACCCAAGCCTGAGGAACTGTACCCATAAAGTGGAAGAACTTGCCTTCTTAGCCAAGTTTGTAAAACAAGGGTGGGTAATCGGATGGGGGCCGATGCTAATTCCCTCCCCACAGCCTAATCCATGGAGATGCAGCCGCGCAAGCTCAAATACCTTAGTCTTCCTCTGCAGTCCTTCTCAAAATGGCATCAGGAGGTAATGTAGTGTCGCTTCTTGTCGCCATTTTGAGAAGGAATACAGAATAGTCATTTTGGGAGGGATGACAAAGAAAGGACTATGGATTATGGCGGGGCTATGGAGGGATAGTCCTGTACTCAGGACAAGAGACTACTGTCAGAACAGAAGACAGAGAAACAGAATGGTTCCCAATTGGCA